AACGATATAAACTTGAGATTTCTTACTCATGTATTAAGTAAACTATGAACATGTAATGTGACAACTGTCTCGATTTGTTCTGTATCTCACTGAAATAAAAAAGTTTATATAAAAAAAAAACCTGTTCCAGAAAGCTCTTCTGGGAAAAGTTTTGGTTATGAAAACATGTTCCCAAGTCTCCTCTTTCGAATGGTGAAAATTGAAGCTCTTTAGCTTTTTCCTATCGAAAGTTATTCAGAAAATAGTCATATACCATTCTTTTTTTGGATGGACAATAGATACGGGTTCAACAATATCAGCTGTCGACGTATCGTACGTCAACAAGATAAATTGCTTTAATGGTATACAACCTGTGACAACAACATGTAGAACAGCAAATAACGGCAGTCTACATGTTAATGGAATGATTGGATTACAAATTTTAATCAACAATATTACAACATCAATTAACGCATTTGTCATTGATGACCTGTGTACTGATGCATTATTGGGTAGCGAATATTGTGATAAATACCACGTAGATATTAGTTATTACTTTAAAAATTTAACAATTCGATCACAACATCAGCAAACAACAGTCAAGTTTGAAGGCCACCTCAATAATCGTCAAATATATTATATTAAAACGTTGCAAGATGTAATGATACGACCATTAACAGCAAAAGTTATACAAGCAACAACAACAGTGCCTCAAGTAACGACGGCTATCTTTACACCATCACCAAAAGTGATGAACAAACAACATGTTGTGGCCCCAAATACGTTATTAATTGTCAACCACAATATACCGCATTCTGAATAACCACATCTGGTAAAAAGTACATTTTGGCCTATACAGATTCCTTGTCAAAGTGGGCTGTTACACCAGCAATACCCAATTGTACAGCTGAAACAGACGCAAAATTCCAATTCTACCATTTGTTATACCATCATCAATTATTATGTGATCAACGACCAGTGATTAGTATACACAACTAATTAAGCTTTTAAAACAAGCAAAGTCAACTGCGAAATGCAATATAGAACAACAGCATAATATCTACAAACAAATCTATGACATAGGACGTCAAGACCAAACCAGACTACAGCCGGGACAGTTGGCCTTTCTCAAGCAAATGATCAACAAGGATTTGGGAAAATTTTCACCCAAGTATTATGGTCCGTTCAAAATTATACAGCAAAGTGGTTGTTTAGAGGTAATGATTATTGATTATTGATTGAAATTATAACGTGAAATACATTAATGATGGTCATGAAGAAACCGTGCTTGTATCCCGGGTTCGAGTTTTCTCGAATATATGTACAACTCTCTGTTTTTTTTTCGTTTCTATTCTACAATAGGTATCATATCATCTTCTAGGTCACGATAACCTATACTTGTATATAATATTTTCCCCACTATCGTTGCTTTGTTCCCAACGATGTCACTTGGGTATTTTCACAGCTGTTGTGAGACTTTTCCGTTTATGTATATTAGCCTGGCTTTTTCTCGTGGACTCTTTGTTCAAAGTACTATATATCGAGATGCTTTCCAAAAGTGGATGTGTGTGTTTAATATGTAGTAGTTAGTTCATATTGAATACAAATAAAGTTTATTTGTGCGATTCAGCTAGATTTCCTCGATCAACAACAGTATCAACCTAACACTATCGGTTTTGGATTTTTCGATAGTTTTGGTTTAGGATACTTTGAATATATTTTTCCGCTTGTATTCTGACAGAATAAAGCTTACATCGAGTTCTGTCACGTTACTGGAACCTTCGTTTGTTAGGGAATATTTCAGAATTTGGGACAAGCAGCAGGGTTCCTTGTATCTCAAATATTGTGATATATAATAGTATTTTCTTCAAAGATTTCTATTTTCATTTGAAGAGTCGAGAAATTTTCAGAGTGCTCTTTGTATTCTTCAATCGTTTCTCAGCGTAATTTTGTTTGTCCACGATATGCAAAATATGTTTAGGATCAAAACAAATGGGTTTGTTTAAAAAACACAAAATTACCTGATGCGGTTGTCGTCGACGACCACCTCAACAACCACTTCGACGCCAACCTCAACAACCACTTAGACGACACCGTCAACACCCC